CTTGAAAAGGAAAATGGGGGGTGGGGGGGGGCTTGCAACCTAGTTCAGTATCTGGTTAAAACTGTAGTCTTACTTTCCCACTCTGACTCGGGCGGAGCTGCAGAGCCTAACCCCAGGGCCCTGCCACAGCTGACTTGGGGGGACCCTCAGGGGCCACCACAGGAGGAGATATATAGTTCAGAGTCTCCCCACGAGTTCAGCTGAGGCTTTGGATCAGAATTCCCCTGGACCAGCAGATCTTCGAAATAAAGGTTAAACTTTCCTCCCTCAGAGTGCTGGCTGATCGTTCTCCCGTGCATTCTGCCACAACATCTTAACAAATTAAATATACAATGACCCTATTTCCAAATAAGGCCACATTTTTGAGGTAAAGGGGATTAGAACTTCAGAACTCTGTGTGTGTGTGTGTGTGTGTGTGTGTGTGTGTAAGACAAACATCAGCTGGAAATTTGTTTAAAATGCAAATTCTTGGGCTCCACCCTAGACTCACTGAATCAGAAACTCTGGAAATGCAGGTGATCAATAGTATATATGTTAACAAGCCTTTCAAAGTGATTCTGATGCATGCTAAAGTTTGAGGACCATGATTTCACATCATGCTGTACATTTAAAAAATCATTCCGGCATGTTAAGTGCATATTTTGCCCTTCCAACAGAATTGCTAGCCCTTTGGGGCTGTCTCTGACTGTATTTATCCCATCTTGCTTCTTCCACAGTTGTGAGCAACTAATACTTATCGCTCACATAAATAAATAAATAAATAAATAAATAAATAAATAAATAATGATTGCGTTGACAGGCTAGAATCTGGACATCTGTACAGGTCGCATGTGGCCTATAGATGGGTTTTATTTTGTCTTCCCAGGAATACTATGAACTAATTGCCAACATAAAAAACCTAGACTGCAGAGGGGTTTTTTTTGAACAACTGCAAGATTGCTGGCAATCACTGGATCTGAAATCCCACACGGCAACCATCAACTGATTGACGGCTGCCTGTTTGAGGTGGGGCATCAGGGTTCCAGTTAGCCACAGTCCTCACCATTCCCTGATGCCTCCCCGACACTGGGGCCTTATGCAGAACAACCTCGCTTATTTACATCGCCTATCTGGCCCCTAAAAACATTTAGATCTAAACCATGCTGGAGAGAAGGCAGGCAGATAGAAAAATGCATCCCCATCCACAGCCTGAAATACTTAACTAAGGAACTTAACCGTTTCTGAGCAGCAACATTAGAAATGGAATTTCAGAAGCCAGCGTTACTGATCAGCACTGACTTCGGTTCTGAGAGTTTAGCTTCATGTTTCACAGGTTGAGTTATGAAATCCTACAGCACGGAGGATCAAAGGTTTGTAGGGCCCTACCCGTGCGACCACGCGTGGGCGAGCGATAACATGGTAAAGAGATTTTACATCAGCATGATTTGGGGAACAATGGGTGTGGAGGGCATGAGGTCGTGATTTTGAAGCACCACATAGGCCTCCTCCAGGGTGTCTATGCTAGACTGAGCTCCAATAGCAGATCGGCTGTGAAAAGATTACTGCCCAGGGAAGCAAGTCAGACTTCAAAACTACTTTCAGGCTATTTTACATATTTTAAAGGGCAGATCCTGGACTAGATTTGACAACTGCGCCTGTAACCCAGACACCAAATAGTTAGAAAAAAGAAAAGATACCATTTCCGTACCTTACCCAAGACACTGGGAGCAAGTTCATGAAAAGGTGAGCGGAGCAGTGGTCCTGGGGTTCAGAGCGGGGGAACTCACACATCACAGTGGAGATGGGCCCAAGTTTTCAACGAGACAACAAGCTTCATTAGTCAGCCCCAGAAAGCTACACTTGCCATGGCACCCATCTCAAAGTAATACATCAGAGAAATACAGCTACTCAGAGATCACTGAGCCAGAAGGGAGAGATACATGGCCACTCTAACATCACAGGGCTATCTTCCGACAAATTCTCAAACTTTATTCTCTCCTTAACCACCACTGTACCTCAGCATTCTTTAGAAAGAAAGGAGATGGAATATGTCACCGATGATTAATCTTCCTTTAAAGCTGTTAGAATTTAGAACTGTAGGCGGAGAAGGGGTTCTATGGAATGTAACATCACAGGTGATGTGATAATAAATTCCTAACTGGCCAGTCCTGGTGGGTAGTCATGCCCCAGGCATACACTAGTAACTTCTTTAGTAAAAGGTTTATCTTTGCCTTAAGCAAGCCCTGTCCATTGTTTTTATGCATCTAGGTTAACACCCCTTTGAAATAAGCATAACCACCCTGGAGAGAGCACAGAATCTTCCTGTGGGTTAGGGACTGTGTCCTAAGGCCCCTCCAGCCCCTTCCCATAGTTGCTCTTGGTGAGTTGGCGCAACTTTTATTCAAGGTCACCACACAATGAACTATGCAATGTTGTGAGCCACTATGTACTCACCAGAAAGGTTACAATGAAAAACAGATTCTGATCACACTGAGTGCTGGTGCAGCAGCGGAAACTCTCATCCTTTGCTGGAGGGCCTGACAATGGTGCAGCCACTTTAGAAAGCAGTTTGGCCGTGTCCTTAAAGTTATACCCACACTTACCACGCGACCCAGCAATCCCACTCATAGGTGTTTACCCCCAGGCAATGAAAACTTAGGTTCACACACACGTCTGCATGTGAATGTTGATAGCAGCTTTATTAATGATTGCCAAACACTAGAAACAACACAAACGTCCTTCAGGGGGTGAGTGGATAAACATCATGCAGGGGAATACTATTCAGCAAGGAACTCTTGCGCAAATCTCAAAAGCATTCTGCTGAGTGAAAGAGCCGGTCTCAAAAGACTATCTATTTAATGAAAGTGTAATATGCTAATTAGACTGGACGTCCTTCCTGACAAAGCCAGAGCCCGGAGGGAAGCCCGGGTCCAGGTGCCAGAGCCTGTGCCGGCAACCGGGGGAAGGAAGACTTACTCTTGAATGAATTTTGTGCGTTGGGCCTCTAGTATACTATATAAATAGACTTACATGACATTTTCCAAAAGACAAATGGATGGAGAACAGCTTATTGGTTGCCTGGGGGTGGGGATGGAGGTGGAGGGTGGGTGTGACTACAAAGGGATTAGTAGAAGGGAGTTAGGGGGTGATGGGACTGTTCGGAATCCTGATTTGGGTGGTGGTTACAATCCACATGTTAAGTTCCATGGATTTGTACCACCCTCCTCCAACATCAAGTGTACTGTATGATAATTTACAATGTCACCCAATTTACACTCAGGATAAGTGCACCCAATAAAAAATGTCTCTGAAATGGGGCCAGTCAACAGAGGCTGAATCCATACCGAACGCCCGCAGGTGGCATGAGGAGGGCAGGAACTCACAGGCCTCCTCGGTGCAGTTTGGTATGTGAAGAGGGTAAGTGACAGTCACTGGGCACAACCTGGTAATTCTCTGAAAAGGCAAAAGAGCTGTGATCTGTAACGTTTCCTTCCCAGGAACTTTGTACCCGTGGTCTCTTACAACCGCTGTAAGGGAGGAAAGTCAGGCTTAGCGATGGTAAAGGATTTACCCTGATGTTGATATTGGTTCTGTCTGGTTCCCCAGCGGCCACAGAAAGCCACAGCGTGGATTAAACTGTGACTCCTCTCTTTTCTATGCTGTACCTTGAGCAGGCCCCTTAATCCTCGGTGCTCTTCCAAGTCCTGCTCTGCCTTTAAAGCAGTGATTGGGGAAGGGAGACTATTTTGCCCTCAAGGGGCATAGGGCAATGTCTGGAGACATTTTGGCTGTCACAGCTGGAGGGGGCAATGCTACCAGCATCTGGTAGGTAGGAACCAGAGATGCTGCTAAGCATCCTACAGTGTACAGCATGGCCCCCTGAAAAAGTCATTACCCAGCCCCAAATGTCACCAGTGCAGAGGCTCAAACCTCTTGGTTTAAAGGAATGAAGAGAGGAAATATGCATGAGCCAGACACTGTGCTAGGCATTTTTAAAGGCGTATCTCAAGACCCTTTTGAGGTAAGTATTATTAACCCCAGTTTACAGTTAAGAAGGTGGTGGCTCCGACCCACAGAGCTGTGTGGCCAAACCCCCGTGATGGCAAAGCCCAGCATTCCGCAGTGTGGTGCTCGGGGGTGGGCTGGACCCTCCGTTACCCTCCTCACTTCCATCTCCTCTGGTCTCTTCCTGGTAGCCCTAAGAGATCTGCAGACAAGGGGAGCTGCAGGCTGGCAGGAGGGAATGTGAACTCTAGAGGCTCCCAGGAAATGAGTGGGCCCGTCAGCACTCAGGACTCCAGGTGTGGTTGTCACCCGTGTCCTTTTGCATCACCCATCCCTCCGCCCTAAGCGCACTCAAGTCTCTCCTCCCTCCAAAGAGCCCAGAGACATTCCCAGCCAGCTGCGCCAGGACAGTGTCCTCTCCCCTCCCCCCGGCCTGTGCTGCGGGGACTGGGCACTCAGACAGCAGCCAGGGACGGGCGCCAGTCCCAGAGCAGCGCACTAGGATCCATATCCCATGGGCAGGGTGGGCCTCAGACACCAAGCAAACTGCTTTAAAAACAAGTTTCGTAATCACCTCTGAGTGATTCTGGTTCCATTTTACCCTTTCATATAATGAGTGCTGACAGTTCCAGCAGCTGAAAATGGGTGTGTGTAAGACAGGGAGGGAGGAGGGAGAGACAGAGTAGAAGAAAGGGGGAAAGAGAATGAAGAAAGAAGCAGAGAAGGACACAGTATACTTAAAAGCTTAACATAAGACTCAGAAAACAGGTAACCTCATAATCAGCAAAGAACCCTAAGATTGGGGAACACTCGCAAATCAGGCGGGAAAACGTGAATGATCTTCAAAATGACTCCAGATAACTGCAGCTAGGCCTGGGGTCAGGCAACACACCCTAGTAACTTCTCCGACGTGGCGAAGCAGAGTCCATTCTTGACCAGGCTGGGCACAGCCCACCTTCATCCCTGCGCCCGCCTCCCCGCTGCCAGCCCGACCCAGCCCCGCAGGGGGCACTCACAGCTCCAGAATCAGGATGACGTCCGTCTTGTTCTCGTACACCTCGTGCAGCGTGATGACGTTGGGGTGCTGGATCTCCTTCAGGATGCCGACCTCGCGCTCGATGTCCTCGCGGCTCACGCCCCGCCGGCTGGATTTCGTCCTCCTTTTCTTGATGAACTTGGCGGCATACTGCAGACCCGTGCTCTTCTCGCGGCATTTCTTCACCACGGCAAACTGCCCGCTGAAGAGAGGGGCGGGAGAAGGACACGGGTCATTTACACATTCTTTTTGTTCATTAAAATACAAGATTTGAGCAAGGATGTGCCGAGGGTGTGTGTGTGGGGGGGGGGGGCAAGGGGGAGAGCAATGGAGTTGTGAGTAGAAAAGTCCAAATTGTGAGCAATTAACACAATAAGTAGGGCTAGTTCTTATTCTATTTCAGTTTTATTAAACCAGTTTCTTTGTGAACGAGGGATAGAAATTATTTCCCTGAGTTATGCTTTGTTGAATCAGTAATGATGCCTCCACTTCTGTCCTGGCCTCCTTTCCTTCCATTTCTGATTTGGGGACCCCGGGAAGGAGCTCCGGGATCAGACCTCACTCCCAACAAGCTCATTCCCTTGTGTGTGTAGGAAAACAAGAGATGGAGACCAGGGAATTGGTAGGAAAATATATAGAGCTCTGACTCTGATGACATATTTCTAGCACCAACAGTTATCAACTGAAACACCCAGAACAAAAATAAGCTCTCCGTGTTTTTCACACTTGGGGAATTGATGAGTCCTGTGGACTAGACATCTGCTGGCTGCTTCTCCAGCACCACCGCCCTCCTCTTCCTTTTCCAATACCTTTATCTAGGGATTGTTGTGGTTCTGGGAAGCTGCCTCCATCCACAACTACAGATACAGATCATGTGACCAGAGCTTGGCACAAAGTTCTCCTGGCTCCAGTGATAGGCCCAGGACCTAAATAGAGACCTTCCAGAGAATGTTTAGACAGAGCCTTTTCCTGAGATTTTCTGATCCCTCAAAGCTGCCGGCAGATACCTTAGAGCCATTTGAGGAGTCACTCTTGGTTTAAAGCTAATCACATTGCAGAGACAGAGCCAGTAGAAGCAACAAGACTAGGTCTGTGGTAACACTGGGAGTGGCTAGATCAACCCTAGCCTGAAACCATCTGCCTTTGGAAATTTCAGCAACATAGGCCAATAAATTCTCTTTACTGCTAAAGCCAGTTTGATCTGTGTTTTCTATTTCTTACAGAGGAAAGCATCCTATCCATCCAGTGCCACAGCGAATAACCAGAGCTTCCTATGCATATATAAAAGAATATCTATATATATAAAAGCCTAAGCGACCGTTACGACCAGTCGCTATGACACACACTGACCATTAGGGGGCAGGTGCTCAATGTAGGAGCTGCCCCCTGGTGATCAGTGAGCTCCCATAGCCAACCTCCTGCGGTCCCTTCCTCCTGCCGGCCGCCCCCTGTGCACGAATTCGTGCACTGGGCCTCTAGTTATAAAATAACTTGACACACAATAAAAGGTGAAGACATAAGTGGGTGAGATCTTGAGAGGTAAGTAGGCTACCCTGAATTTAGATGAAACAACAGAAAGATGCTTCCTGTAACGACCCTCTAGCACCCAAGGCAGGGTTGGTCCCCCATCACAGGACCTGTACATTGCTTGGCACCAGCTGGAGAACTGCTATGCAGAGCATGATCACAGTTATTTTCCGCTAGTTTCCTTCCCCTCACATGAAGACAAAAAGGGGAGAGAAAATAAAATAACTGGTAATATTTTGATGCTAAAGAATGGATACTTTAAAATGTTATTCATTTCCTTGAGCAGCAGGAGGCCAGAGAAGAAAAAACACACAGTGAAGGATTATTTTTATGGCAGTATCAAATTTTTTGCATGACAGGTTATTAATACCCTCCTTCCCCCTGCAGCAGGAGAGCAGAGAAGTTGAAGAATAAATCGCACCGGAATGCTAGCGCCGTCTGTAAACTCCCGACCTTAAAGAGCCAGGGGATCTGTTACGACTTTATTACAACCATGTTCTAATTTCTCTGGGGAGTGAAGGACTGACCAGAGGGAAAAGGGGTGGGCTGCAGAGATGGTGTTTATGGAGAAAAGCAGGAACTCAGCCCCACTTCTCACAGAGACAGTATCATGTCCCCACAGAGGGCTCTCAAGGGACCCCAGGGCAGAGAGAAGAGAGAGTGCACTTCACAGGGCAGCACCTTCAAACCACAAACATCTGTGCTTGGGGGCCGGGTGGTGGTGGTGGTGGTGAGGGTGGTGATGGTGGTGGTGGGGGTGGTAAAGTATCTAAAATTATGTTTTGTATAATGTGGTGGTGGTGATGGTGGTGGTGGTGGTGGTGGATTGTGATGCCTCCCACAGGCTACAGGCACCTACAGGCACCGAGACTTGTCTCAGGGGCTGTAATGACTTGAGGCAGTCTGTGGTTTGAATCACCTTGCTTTAAAAAAACAAAACTAAAGTGCCAAACAAAATAAAATCTGCAGGCAAACCACAAAGAATTTAAATACAAGTCTAAATTTAAAGACTATCTGAGTGTGTTTCATTGCCAAATGATCCATTGTTGACTGTTTCCCCCTTTTAACTCTATGAGATTCACACCATCCTCATTTCTTCGGTCAATGAAAAAGCCAGGCTTCAGAGGGATGTTTTTTTTTTTTTTAAATATATATTTTATTGATTTTTTTACAGAGAGGAAGGGAGAGAGTTAGAGAGTTAGAAACATTGATGAGAGAGAAACATCGATCAGCCGCCTCCTGCACACCTCCTACTGGGGATGTGCCCGCAACCAAGGTACATGCCCTTGACTGGAATCGAACCTGGGACCCTTCAGTCCGCAGGCCGACGCTCTATCCACTGAGCCAAACCGGTTACGGCATTCAGAGGGATGTTTTAAAAACTGCTCTAAATCATTCAGCAAGTTTGTATAATTCAAAAATGACTCCACACGCAAGTGTATTTGCTCCAAAGCTCTATTCCTTGAGCCAGGCTGCTATGCTGGGCTTGTGTCCACTTTGTTTGAGAAACAAGCCACCCTGCTCTGAAGTTGCAGGACCTCATTCTAGGAAAGAGCTTTCTTGAGGGGGAGGCAAAGAGAAGAGGCTTGTGGCTAAAACGCTTGGGCAATGTAGCCGCCTCCTCGCCACTGAAAATTCATCAAGTGCTTGAATGAACGGAGCCATGGCTTGAATATCCTTGTCGGTGCTCTGCAAGGAAAGGTAAACCACATTTGCGTGTGTGCTTAGGAAGCACAACGTTAACAATTAGAAAGAACCACAGGAGAGTCTCAAGGTCAGATGGCAAGCAACTGAAGCATCTGTGTTTTTGGAGGTCTTATGTATTCCATAGTGCATTAAAAATGAACCTGTCGGCCCTAGCTGATTTGGCTCAGTGGATAGAGCATCAGCCTGCGGATAGAAGGGTCCCAGGTTCGATTCCAGTCAAAGGCACATGCCCAGGTTGCAGACTCGATCCCTAGTGGGGGGAGTGAAGGAGGCAGCCAATCAATAATTCTCTCTCATCATTGATCTCTCTCTCTCTCTCTCTCCGTCTCTCTTCCTTTCTGAAATCAATAAAATATATATTTAAAACAACAACAACAAACACCTGTCGAACTCTGTTTCATCCCTTCACGTTTTATTTTCCAATTCATTTCTTTGTGGGAGTTTTACTCTCACTTTGGGAAAGATGGGGTGGACAAGCGAAGTCAAAGATGTTGCTTTCAGGATGCAGGAAGAGCAAGTTGTCTGGGAGCAACTATTTTTTCTGCCCGTGGGCTGGTGCCTAACCTGGGCTCTCACATTTTCACTGCGGACTTTGATCCAGACACCACATTAGAACAAGCTCCCACCCAGTAAGTGCAGATTGAAAAAAACCATACTAAAACAGCTTATAATTTTGGGGAGAATTTAAAGCATGCATCTACCCAGTACATATGACAGTTAAAAATTCTTTATGGGAACTATGTGTTATTGCGAATTCCCTACATTAATGCTAGAAACAGATCTGGCTTAAATCAAAACAGCTGGAAAGTTTCAACTCTACCCTCCTTCCAAGTCTTTGCAATAAGGTTTCTAATTAACACAAAATAACTTTTACTTTTGAATTCACATATCAACCTTCTGGCACAATTATAGTGCTGGCTTATGAGCCAACTATTTTTCCTGAAGAGCTGTGTTGACAGAGTGGCAGCAGCTTGGATCCCGGTAGAAAACTGGACTTACAGGTCTTAAATAAGAGGCGAGGAGACAGAAATGATTTTTCAAGGATGAGTTAACGTTGGGTAATAATTCACATTTATGGCAGCGGAAAGACCCTGAAGAGTTTATAGACTAATGGGAGAGACAAGCATGTAACAGCAGAATGTTGGAAAGGCTATAAAAAAGACTAGGGAGGTCAGGAGACCCAGGCTGTGTCTTGAAGGCGGGATGTGACCTGGGAGATGAAGGTGTGTGTGGAGGGATGAGTTCTGAGAGGAGGCATGGGTGAGCCAGGGCAGGGAGCACAAAAGAGCCTGCCTAGCATTTCTGAGAGAAGAGGGAGTGGTGGGGGAAGATGAAGAGCAGCTCCACAAACAGGGCCCCGCCCAGAATGAAGCAAGGTCAACCCCAACTCTGTCAGTAACGTGGGAAAGCAGGGACTTCTGAGCTTCAGTTTCCCCATTCATGCAAGGGTGATGACAACATGGAGTGAGACCCTGCATGTGAGTGTAAACTGGGTTCTCTAAGCACATCAGGTCCATATAAAGGATGAAAATTAGCAAGCGTAGCAATCGGTCTCTGCTTCCTGCTTCTCAAAGAAGCACAAAGGATCATATTTCAGCGGCTGAAAAGCAGCACCAATTTCTTCTTGGCCTTTCTACCCAACAACTTGAAATCTACGTGCTAAGTCTCTAGCTCCACCCCCTCCCCCACCCCCACCCCCCAATCAGGAATAACAAAGCTATTTTCATTTTAGATGGAGGCCTATTCGATTTCTCCCCTTGGGTCCCCAAAGGACCTTGTGACTTTGGCTGCTGAAGTGCTCGCCTGTGGGGAGGTGAGTCTGACAGCAGTTTGCAAAGATGGCCTTGGCCGTATCTTCCATCTCCCATACTCCTCTGCAGGGTGACCTCAGCCTGCTCCCCTGGAACCTGAGCCTTGCTTGACCAATAGAATGTGGCAGAAGCCAGATGGGGGGGTTCTGTCTGGAGT